AATCAGATTAGATATAAACACCCTTAAATAAAATTACCAATAAATTCTTCAAGTCATTAGCCAGTTAGGCACGCACTTAATCAACTAAAACCCCTTATAGAATTTTTCAGGACAGCAGTTTCCTCGCAAACTGCATTTCGAACAGGCCTTATTTAAATGTTGCAACATTTTCTCTTCTTCTTCTTCTTCTTTTTTTTTTCAATTGTATCTGGTAGACTGGTACCATAAACTTTTAACTTCTTATTAAGAAAGGCAATTAATAAGACATACGGTTTTTATACCGAGTAAGAAAGAGTTCTATCCTACGGATAAAGACTTCAAAACGTGAAAAGAGAGAAAAAGTTATATCAAAACTTTAGAATTATATTGGTAGAAGCTTCAAAACATATCCATTCAAAATTTCAAATCCTAACCTAAAAATGATAAATGCAAGCAACGTTTTACATATGACATTCCCCCAGTAAAAGATTTTGATTTCATAGTCTGAAATGAGTTGAGAGAAAAGTCCTAATTCTTTCCAATTAAAAGAGCCTTCATAATGCTATCACTTATCCCCTCAGCCATTGGAAACATATGCCCTGCACCTGGAAGCTCATGGTACTGAATCCAGGAAAGTTTTTGGACAATGTAACGTTGCAATGTAACCGGAACAACCCTATCTTCATCTCCTTGCCAGAGGTGCACTGACCCCTCAACCTTCTCCAGGTCAGTGGGATCAAACTCCCAGCTCCCAAAGGCAACCATTAACTCCCGGTGGAGGGACTCATAAACTCCTTGCTGTGTTGCATGTGCCTGTGGCAGAAATAACACTAGATTTAGCCAAATCTGATAATTATATTAGCAAAAATGAATAAACCATTGGATGAGTGCAGTCTCCACATTCAATGTTTATGGCTTTGCAATCTGGAGTATACAACAAAATCACAAAGAGAAACTAAAAAGAAATCAATTAATCCAATATTTTAGAGAAATGCCTACCCTATGATTTACTGCAACTTTGCTCACGAGTTCCAAGTCCTGTTTAGAAAAAATATCAGGTATCCCTGCTATAGCACTTAAAGGTGGAAACAATTTCTGAGTGTTCCACCAGTAGGTTAGCCAGGGGACATAGTGAGCAACGCGGAGTGCCCAACGGTCCTGAGGTAACAGTTGATTGAAGACTTCTTTAGATAAGTTTGCTGGAAATCCGGACCAGAAGTAGTTAATAGCCGGAGCTAATAGTGCTGCTCCATATAACCTGCAAGGACAAGAAAAATAAATAAAATAAAATAAAATAAAAAACATGTTAAAGCATCCAACCAAAAACCTTAAACTTTGCTAATGCAAAATGTGAAACAATACCTGTGAGGAATATACTTGAGGCAACTCCAAACCTCCTGACCACCCATGGAGAAGCCAATGACATAGAATTTGGATCCTAATCCCAATTGATCAGCAAGCTCTTCTATATCTAAAGCCACACTCTTTACTGTTCGTTTTGGATTAGGATCACTTTCTCCATATCCAGGTTTGTCAAATGACACAATGTAGATCCCTAATTCATTGAAAGTTTCCTGAAAAAAAGTGCTTAGTCTGGTCAATATCGAAAATGACATCCAACACAAAATTAAACATAAAAATCTCCAACTTAATCTGTACCCACCAACACTAATCTTCAATTTGAGTACCTCCAAGATAGAAAATTCAGACATCTATGAAACTAAACATACTAACTTAGTAACTTCAATTGTATGTGCGAAAAAAGTAAGTGAAATTTCAAGTGGAGAGACTTGAAGTGATGAATAATAACCGGAGAAAGATAATCGGCAACCACTGTACCATGCCTCGAAGAAGTAAAGCTATGGATATAGACAATTTTGAACTTGGCTGCATCTCTTGGGACACCATGTTCTTTGTAGGCCAAGTACCTCCCATCCCTAAGCTTTATTCTTGGTGCCGTAATAGGAGGGCCACCTGGGGAGCCACATTTTTTAGACACCGGAGGTTGGATGGCCTGATAAACCCATGCCAACATCCCCACATAGAAAACCACCACTATCTTCTTAAATATCCCTGAAAATTTTTAAGCCTTCTAGTTCAACTAAATTGTAGGAAACTGGAAAGAAATCCGTAAATTGAAAAAGAACTCTAACTTTTTGAATATATATATACGCAGAAGAGTACAACAAACTTCCAAAGTATAATGGGATACAAGCAGGATACAAATTTACAAATAACAGAAAAAGATTTAACAAATCAGTAAAATATGTGAATAACAAAAAGAGACAATGATGGATAAATTCAAAATCGAACTTCCAAAATTCAACAATATCATTGAAATTTCAAGTTTAAACATTAAATTTTTTTTTATATATGGACAAGATTTTGGAACAGAAAACTCAATAAAAGAAACAAATAGTTTTGAAAACAAGCAGAAAATTAGGAACTCACCTGAAGGAAGCTTGAAAGAAGTGCTTTGCTTAGTTGTTCTGGTGTGAGCTCTTGCCAATGCTGCTGTTATCTTTCTGCTGGATCCTGCAGCCATTTTTTCTTATCCAAACAACTGAGAAAGCAGGGGTTAAGTGGAAATTTTAATAATGGCTGGAGTTAGACGGAGAAAAGAAAGCTGCCTCTAGTATTTAGACTTTAAAGGGTGCTTGCTAAAGTTTAAAGAGTATTTGTTTTGAATGTGCTATTTATTTTTTAAAAGACTAAAATTTTGTTGAAGAAAAATTTAAAAATTATTTTAAAAAAATAATTTTTAAGTAAAATTTTAAAAAATATAG